ACACACACACACACACACACACACACACACACACACACACATTCAGTGCACCCACACACAGTCTGCCTTCAATAGCTCTGGTTTGAAAAAGAATGGAATTAGCACAAAAAAAAACTGTCCCCACACTCATTCAGTGTGACAGGGAATTATATTTTCTGATAAAGCCGTCATTATTGTGCATTTAGCCCATTACAGCAGAGTAAAGCTGATTAAAACATTTTCACCAGCTGGAAAAGTGGGCGGGCGTGTTGCAAAGGGCCTAAGAGCTTTTCTTTGTGTTTTCAGTCTGTAGGATAAAAGAGGGATGGAAATGACTACTACACTAAATGTAGAAATTGGCGTTGAGTTTTCTGCAGTAGGACCATGATGCTTTGAGCTCTGTGATGTCACATCAATTGTCATTCGTTTAGTGCATTTTCAGATCAGACATTTGCTTTCAGACATTCTACTTTCTTTGATCCCTTCTTTTCCACTTCAGTTAATCCTTTTAAGTGGAGAAACTGAATCTGTCGGAAAATTCACATCAAGATCAGACATTTTTATGTCACAAGTCTCATGACAAGCACAGAAAGAATGAATGCACGTAAATGCCATTGTGTCTGATCAATAATCTCTTCTCTTTGTTTTCTCCCTCCCTTTTCTCCATGATCTCTTCTCCTTATTATATCTTTACCCTCGTAGGTGATCCTGGCCACGATCGAGAGGCACAAACAGAACAGTGAAACGTTCAACAAAGCTTTCAACAGCTCCTTCTCTCGAGAGGACGACCATCTCCCTGACTCACCGGTCAGTCACTGATCCGTCAGTTTGTGACTCATCCTATGCAATGAATCATGGGAGGCTAGTGGCAAATGAGTTCATCATTATGGTCTGGTCTTCGTCTGCTTGAGCAACCGTCCATCTATGGATGTGCTAGTATCAAACACATAAAACACACACATCAGGAAGCTTTTTCCTTTGTGTTTAATCCTGACAGTCACACAAGTAGCGTCTGCGAGTCTCTTCTCCCAGAACTCTCTCATTACCTAATAGGGAAAGTCAAAGTATATACAAAACTAGTATGGATCTGGTTTGACCCACTTTGTGCTGACCAGAGCTGGACGCCATCCAAGTAACTTGACACAAGCCAGAGGAGGAGATTAAGCAGGTCAAGACTGACACCTAGTGGTGAAGACGCTGACGTCTCCAGTAAATGTAACCTTTGTTGGTTCTGCTCCTCAGGGTCCCTGGGGCACCCCATCCATGGACTCCGACAGTGAAAGACTGCACGAGAGGGTAAGATACTAAATAACATCTACTGTCACCTGGTATGTTGATGGTACTTGAAGAAGAGAACTGGTTAAGAAAGTGTGAGTTTCCTGACATGAACTCTGGAAAATGTCCAGAAAAGTCGGTCTGAGTTTTTCTTTCACATATGAAGACCACAGCTGGAGATTGTCTGGGTCAGATGCGTTCACAACAACAGGAAAATGTCTGGAACATTCAGGAGAGCGTTGGTGCCTGCAGAGTAGAGCAGCAGGAGAATGGTATAAATTCTGCTGTGGAAATCACATAGTTTTGTTTGCAACACATCGACACTTACCCTCATTCCCAAAAACTCTTGAACCTCATTGTCTTATCAAGTTGACATCTTCTAGTTGTATGGCTCCTCTTTTTCATCCTGTGTATTATTTTTGAGTTCAGTGCATGTATGAAAGCAGCTTGAGTGGCAGGAGTTCCCACTGTGAAAGGAGGTGTAGGCTCTTATTGATGTTATAAATAATTTAGAGTTCATTTAGGAATATAAACATACAACAATCTGATTTGACAAACTTCTTTAAAGTAGATCTTAACCCCAAGATTATGTTGTAATGCAGTTATGTTATAGTTAAGGCCACTTTGGTTTACAGTGCCCATTTATTGTGCACACAAAATGACCAAACTAAATGTAAAATTTATCAAATTACCAGAAACCTAGAGCATCCTGAGGGTCTCAGGCCCAGGGCAGTTTCCTGCTTTGTCTGGTCACAAACTTTTTCATTTAGGCTTTTTATTGTATGTTTTATTCAATGAAGGAAAATTTGTGAATCTTTTTATACGTGTGCTCTTATAATAAAATAATAAAAATGAAAAATAGATGTGATAAGCAGGCTTTCTAAAACATAATGAGATAATAAGTTGTTAGTATGTTTGGTGCTCTGGTTATTCTCAGGTACATTGATCTCAGGCTGAATGATTGTAGTGACGGTAATACTGGCAATCTGCTTCTCTTGTCTAAAAACTGTTTAGTTCCCATTGACAAACCCAGGTTCTCCCAGAGAATTCTCCAAAAGGATAACAACCTGACAGCCTGTTCTCTCCATCTGATCTCCGCTCCAGTTGTCTTTCAGAGAAGGATAGTGTGTCTGTGTGGGTGGCCGTCTGCCTGGGCCTTTTCTTGACAAGAAACATAAGATAGCCAGACAAACAAAGGACTGAGCAAGAGGAGCTGTCAGACGTTCCTTTAGGTTCAACTGTGTTTAACATGAACGGGCTGACGACTTCGACACATGACCCCTGTGTTGTTGTTGTTTTTTTCTCCTCTAGAAGAGTTCCAGGAAAAAGGAGAAAGAGACATGTAAAGGCTGCAGCGAGAGCTTCAATTTCACCAAGCGCAAACACCACTGCAAGTCCTGTGGAGCGGTGAGCACACACAGAGGGAGACAGACTCACGCACATAGAAAACAAGTGGAGCATTTCTTTCAGACATGTAACTGTTCACAACAGAGCTGCTTCTCAACACTGTCTCTCTCTCCCTCTGCAGGCCATCTGTGCAAAGTGTTCAAAGACCCTGGACAACAAAACGAGCCGAGTGTGCCCAGAGTGTTTCGAAGCCAGCCTCAGTCTGGAGAATCTCGGCGTCAGTGAACAGAAAAGGAAAGCAGCGCCTGAGGTGAGACACACACTCGGAGACAAACAGAGCCAAGAACACACAGACAGACTCACACACACACTGAGAAAGACTGCACAGCATGTGGATAGCAGTTTATTTTTCTGCCTCCGTTCCTGCCAGTCCAATCCATCTCTTCATGTATGTCAGTGCTCAATGTCAAGCAGGATTCAGCAGAGCTGGATTCCTCTGATGGCAACAAAGAGGAAGCACAGCAGTGTAGTTAAGTTCAGTGAATACTGAACTCCTTGTGTGGTCTGAAATCATTGTATACGCACACACACACACACACACACACACACACACACACACACACTGTATGAACACTTGTGAGTACACACACGTTCACATTGAAAGATCAACTAATCCCTCTTTGAATAATATCATAAAGAGATCTGAGCTGAGGACCAGTCGTCTCCGCTGACTCGGCAGTCTGGCAGCTTCAGGTGTCGCTGACACTGTCTGGAGTTCTACACTAATCTGACAGGAGGATCTCATCATGTGTAATATTGATAATATAATATAATCATAACGCATCTTCTTTGGATGATTTTGGTTCATTCAGTTAAATCTGAATGTCCAAGAGGGGGGGGGGGGTCTGACCTGCAATGACACTAGAGGCCACAGGGGGAGCTGTGGTCCATAGAGGTGTTGGAGCTTGAACACCTGTCAATGTACAAATCTGACTGTGTCCTACATCCTCGTTATGTAATGGTGAACCACAGAAGACACACACACTCATCAGATTTAAATCTCCAAGACGTGATTCAGATGGATTTCAATTACTCACTAATTCTAACCAATACTCATGATAATGATGATTGATGACGACAGCTTTATAACAGAAAAGTGATTTATAAGATGAGATGAAACTCTTACAGCAGCAGGCAAGTCAGAACGAGGAGAGAGTATATAAAATAATATATAAAAAGGCAATAAAATGAAAAGAAAGAAATAATACAGAATATGAGTATAACACAGTATGAATATAAATTCACTATAGTAAACTAATAAACAGTATATTTTACATAGTATAACTATAGAAAGTTGTATATAGATATAAAATTATGGATCTGATCTGTTAATGTGTTCTT